CCGGAAGATGACTACTCATTTGGTGACTTGCGCTCGGAAAGTTCACCTGCGCCAACAGATAAACGTAATACCTCCACGGAAACTCCACCGGAAGAGGGAGCCAGTGCCATTGAGAAACTTAGCGCTGAAGATCGTGAACGCATGTTGAAAATATTGAACTTGATAAAAGAAGAGAAAATGAATACGCCCGAAGGTTATAATCCAGATCCTTTAGCTCGTTTGTGTGAGACATGCCGTGTAGCTTCCATTTCGCGTTTACATTGGCGATGCAACACTTGTTATATATACTTAAATCAATGCTGCGATTGCATTGTGAGTCAGTTGTTGTCACAAAATTTTGAGCATCTGCCACACGATGTAGTTACGGAGACTGATTCGTGACAGGCACACTGGAATCCAAAAGCTGTTAACAATATAATTTAATTTTGAGTACTGAACAGCCAAAAGTGTCTAAAACTATTTTATAGCTCAAAATGTTTAGTATAACATACTCATGTAATGCCATAAAGTCTCTTCGACGAACTCTGCAGTAGTATACCGTTTTTGGTGAGAATTCTAATACTGAAACAAGAATAACAGATCAAAGTGCTTTCAACTTTTTATAACTAAATTCATTGTCTTTTATTATTATTATGTAACGTATGCACATATGTGCTAAAAAGTAAGTCGTAGAGATGCGCTCATAAAGAAATTTAAAAACCATCACGCAAAAAAAAAAATCATAATATTTTTAAAATTTGCTGTGTTCAACGTAGCTGCTTAAGGGATAAGTCTGGAATTTACATAGCCCTTAAATATAACATTGATCGAATCGGATAAATGTACGTACGTTCGATTATAACTTTTCCGTTATAAATGGTAGATCCAGTATGGATAGCCCAATCAAGGATTTTTAAAATCTGACACCAGATTTAGGTTGAGCAATCATGGAAACCCAGAAATGTTTACATAAGCAGGACAATTCGAATTTTTAAAATCCGACACCAGATTGTATTCCTGCTTAAAAAAGTATCATTTCATTTCATTTATTTGGTTTTGTCAATTTTATTATTTGTCGGTTCGTGAGTGTGGTGAATTGCATCTATTCTACAACATATTAGTGGTATTCTTCAAATTGGGCAAGTGGCCTGGCAGTCTGGCAAAAGAACAGGTGGGCTCAAGCAACGACTGTTGACAACACTCACTTGCCACTTGCTCACTTTGGTGAATACCAATATTGAATTTCAAAAATCGCTCGCTGATTTTAAAAGAGCAAAAGTGTACGAACATTTTCAGCCCTTAAATGTAGCTCTGTTCCAGTTGACATGGAACGTGCCATATACATCTAGATATACAGTGGTCGAAAAAATTATAGCCCTACCACATTTTGACAAATTTTAACATAATATTTTTGCTCTATATTTTTTTTTATAAAAAAAATAATAACCAAAATTAAATAACAATAAAAATAATGTGTCAAAACTTGTCAAGATGTGGTGCGGCTATAATTTTTTCTACCACTGTATTCTTTTTATTTTTAACCGACTTCACAAAAAGGAGAAAGGTTATCAATTCGTCGGAATATTTTATTTTTTATTTCTTTTTTATGTATATTACCGCATAACTTCGGACCACGTTAACCGATTTTTATAAATCTTTTTTTTAAAGGAATGGTGTTACCTCACAGGTAGTCCCATATTAATTTGGTTTAAATCCGATTATCGGATCATGAAGAATATAACGATAATCTTAAATTTTTATGAGAATTGAAGTCGGGTTTTGTTTTTTTTTTGCTTAAAAATTACTTGCTTTATAATTTTTTTCAAATTTTTCTCAAGACTTAGAACTAGAGGACTTTATTCAATTTGACCCTTCGAAGAAAAACGATCAAGTCTCTGATAAAGTCTGGATTTGACACATTGAAGAATTCCTTAAAAATACTGAATTTATTAAAATTAAAAAGCTTGTTTGTATCTCCGGCAGCCGAAAATTTTGGACGCTCAAAAATTAGATGATCGGACGTTTCCTTTAGCTCACGGAATTACGAGTTATACAGATTTCTTAGTTGCTCATTACTAAAGTTGCTTTTGGAACCGCCGAGGTTTGACATCTCCACTGTAACAACTTTATGCTTAGAATTATTTATAAATGATTGCTAGATTTGCCAGTTGTACCTTGAGAAAGATTTTCTCTCAGTTTAGCGTTCGATACCCTCTGTTTGCCCAGCTCCTTACAAAGTAAGCTGCTCTGCTCTTAGCGGAGGGAGTTGTCCAGCTAGTATAAATCTTGTGTGCACTAGGATGTTCGGTGGAAGGCCCTGACACCTCCTAAGTGTGTCATTGAGAATGGTCTGAATTTTCTTATTCTACCCCTGAGGTTCATCCGCATACGTGGTGTTCGATATTGAGATTAATGGCAATTTTGGGTTCCAAGCCACCTTTAATCGTTGTGAGTTTCACAATCAAGTTTTGCTTTTTGATGCTATATTTATTACCCTCTTCACATGTTCCGCTATAGTTGATTTGACACTGATTACCCTGCCCAGCCATTTAATTGACCTGACTTGTTCAATTTGTTTATCCTCCCATTTTAACAAAAAATGTTTTCTGGCTGGTGCTGTTCATGACTAAAAACTGAATTTTTTCTACATTAATGATTAGACTTAAAGCTTTTAACCCAACCGGAAAGTTGTTGTTGTTGTTGATGAAGCTCCGTCTCGTCAATGTCCGATGGTTGAGCGCCTAGAACGGCATTCACAGGGGTGGAGTCTACATAATTCGAGGCTGACTCCCTGTGAATGCTGTTCAGGGCCTGTCGATAAGCTGAAGGGTCCAGAGGTTGTTTAATGAACCTCTGGACTTCTTCCGTCAGTTCGTAGAGATGCCTCCTGACGTGCCTGGGCGAAGGCTCTTCTGCAAACAGTTGCCCATTTGGGTGACTACGTCTATGGCTTCCAACAAGGAACTGCTTGCAGAGCATTGTATTGTGCTCCTTGACCGGGAGCAATTTCGCCTCGTCGTGTAGGTGGTGTTCAGGCACATCAGAAGGCATCTAGTGGGTGTCCGTGGTGCGGTGTTTTGCTTCATCCACTGCCGGCCTATTGCCTTGTATGTTGCCAGCAACGTTTCTTTTTCTTTGCCCCAAGTACTGCCGGCTAGCGACTTGAGGACCTTGTTGTGGCTCTGTACTTCGTTGACAATAGCGGTTGCGTGCACAGAGAAGGAGAGCAGACTGTCGAAGGTAACTCCGAGTATTTTGGGGTTATTCATCGTCGGAATTGGTGTATCATCGACGTGAATTCCCAGCAGTAGCCTGACCTCCTTCGTCCAGGTGGTTAACAAGGTCGCAGAGGATTTCTTAGGGGAGAGGGTTAGGCTCCTTGCAGTGAAGAAGCGAGAAAGCTCGGACAGATACCCGTTTGCTTTCGAACACAAGTCATCAATCCCATGCCTAGTCGCTATGATCGAGTAATCGTCGGCGTAAGAGACAATCGAGACTGCCTCTGGTGGTTGAGGGAGCTTTGAAATATAAAAGTTAAACAGTAGCGGGGAGAGGACACCACCCTGTGGAACCCCCTGTTTTATTTTTCTCAGTTTGCTCGATTTGTCTCTTAAACATTACCGACGAGTGTCGACCACTCAGATAATTCGCCGACCACCGTTTCAGCCCCTGTGGGAGAGAGGAAGCCTCTATATCTTCTAGTAGCGTGGAGTGGCTGACGGTGTCAAACGCCTTTGACAGGTCTAACGCTACTAGAATAGTTCTCTTACAGCTTCGGCTAAAATAGCTCGCGCGTCGCTCCGGGTCCGACAGCGTATGATCGCCGAAAGAAATTTCGACCCTGTCGTCGTGCTACGTCGGATTGGACAGCAACCTCACGGTTGACCAAAGCTTACTCACACAAGAGGTGAAGTTGCAAGTGTTCAGATGCTCTTACCACTTTTTCCGCTTATGTACGTTCACAAGCTGCCGAATCTCCGCGTTGAGATCCCTAATACGGGGATTTCCGGGATCGGCCTGACGAAGGCTGTTACGCTCATCGCCTAGAACAGCCGCTTCAGCAGGCAAGTTTGGACGGGGGTCCGTAATGCATCCTGCCGGTATGAAGCGAGCTGCAGCAGCGGAACTTACGTTCACCAAGGTGGACGTCGGTTGGTGTGGGGAGCGCAGCGAAGGTGCTCTCAGTAAATTCCGCGAAGCCTTTCCAATCAGCTTTAGAAAAGTTGATATAGGTCCGGTGTTCCGCGGAAGCGAAGTCGGTTGGTTTATCGATCGATATGACTATGGGCAGATGCTCTGATGCCAAAGTCAACATAGGTCGCCATGATACGCTGTATATCAGACCAGCGCTGACTATTGTTATGTGACTATTGTAATCCTTGTGGGTGCGTCGTCGTTCATTGTGCAGAATGTCGAATCGTCTATCTGCTCAACCAAGTCTGTTCCCCTACGATCGTTTGACTGGCTTGAGTGCCAAAGATCGTGGTGCGCATTAAAGTCACCTACTACGATACGGTTTTCACCTCTGAGGAGCGCACCTATATCAGGGTGAATTTCTGCCGAGCAGCAAGTGACAGGGGGTATGTATACGTTAAATATTTCGAGCTCAACATCGCCGGACCGGATAGTAAAGCCCTGACATTCTATGTAGGGTGGTATCCCTGCGTTCCATGTTTGCTTCAATAAGACGATAGTGCACGGTGTGGTGCGTGATGAACGCTAAGCCACCACCATTATCTCGCTCGCGATCTCAACGGTGCACGTTGTACCCGGCACGTTGTACCCGGCACAATTCAATACCATGTCTTCCCATGAAGACGGTTATCTCCTCGATCTTGCTCTGAAGCCCGTTACAGTCAAATTGAAGGAGCTTCATGTGGTTCGGGAGACGTGTAGTTATGCGGGGTGTGAGGGATGAGTGTGGCCTTGCCGCCATTGGCTGTGTGCGCTGCTGTGGAGGCCGCCATGTGGTGGTAGTGGGCGGCGTCGCAGTTGGGTTATGCGACCGAGCGGCGCAACACGGGCCCCCGAAGCTCCTCGTCCAATCTCGCGTGGTGCGCAGACCTGAACATGCCCTAAAGCGGCACCAGCCAAGACAGGTGTTGCACTTGACTGATGTCACGTTACGGAATATCCTGGTCTGACATACCGTGCAGGAGGATCCAGGAGTTGTTGGCGGCGGCGTGTGGGTGGTGGTGCAGTTGTGTCTGTTATGTGGTCTGTCGTGGTTGTGCTGTGGTCTATTGTGTTGTGGTGTTGTGGTGCTGTGGTGTTTGTGTTGAGCTGCTCCGGTGGACTGGGGTTAGAAGTGGAGGCTGCTCTGTTTGAGCAGCAGGGGGCCACAAATGATGTGGTCCACTGCCGATGGGTCCGTAGTCCTGAGTAGACTCTGAGGTGACTCC